TAATCAGATTGGTACAGATTAAAGACTAATTCCACACTAACAAAAGTAAGTGTGTACTCCAATTTTAACAAAAACGACATATTTACGGTCATTTTTAATACTCTCCAAATTCTTGATATTTTTAAACTCCATAAGTCATTACTTTTAAGTTTTATGTATGATATAACTCATGAGAATCTCCCACAATCAATGTCAACATATAATTTGCAGTATTTACATCATAAATATAGAACACGACAAAGATGTCGAAATGATTTACTTGTACCTAGAATGAACACAGTAGCGGGGACATTTGCAATATCTTATTTAGGGGCCAAAGTTTCGAACAGCATATCAATTTCTTTAAGGTCTAAACAAAAACTTACATTCAAAAATACTATACGGGAAAATTTAATGTCAGAGTATTTAGAATAGAACTAATATTTATTATAAATGTATGTATATACATATATATATATATATATATTATTATTATTATATTATCATATTTGTTTATTTGAAATATACTGAGGTGTAACCTACTGTCAGTCTTAACTTAAGTCATTAAATTCAAGTTATGTCAGGGATCTGACTCGACTAGCTTTTAAGCTATTTCAGATTCCATTTTACCTAGACTGCATGTACAATTTTGAGTATTGTATGAAATATTTTCTAGGTAAATAAATTATTATTATTATTATTATTTACGGTCACTGCCACAATAGCGGAAACAATGATATGACAATACGCTGATACATTTGCATACACCATAAAAACTTGGAACAAGGCACAGTCCCAGAAGTTGCTACCCAAACTTCAAACTTGTATATTCGTTTCAAAAACGCACACCATCGCCCTTGTCACAAAAAATCAAGTGTTTCAAGTTTCAAAGTGCTCCCATCCAATCTACAAAAAAGGAATAAATTGGGGAGGGGTGTCAAGTTTCCTGTAATGTGTAGAAAATGCTTTATAAATACATGTATTTTCAAGATTTCGCCAAGAAACACAGATAGACCTTACTTATTACCACGTACGAGCCCAAAACTGAACCGTCAAGCAGTTAGAAAATGTTGCATGTTTTACTCAAGGCACAGTAACGCGACATATATTTAAAATGTAAATTATTGGGATCCTGGAACCATTATGAGAACTATTTTTATTACCATACCATTTTTTATTGGGGAAAAGCACAATTTCAAGCAAAACACGAATATGGTTTTATAACATATGATAACGGTGCCTTTTACAAAAAAAATCCCTATACTTCTAACTTAGAGAACAGAACGTGGTGGAACACTAGTCACCTCATATGCAAATGATATATAGTCGAATATATGTTTGAAAATAAGTGATCTCGAAACTGGAAATCTCGCCGAGAAATAAATTCACGACAGTCGATGTAATTTGTGTTGTATAAAAACAATGTGATTACACTCCGTCCTACGAACAATACACTGACACTTTCGGGTCAGTTTGCAGCAAGGAATTATATCCAGTAACAGCATTGCTTGCAATTGAAATGACCACTTGCAAAACCGTCGCTGATTGGCTACTTGAGCTGTCAGTCAGTTGGTTGGTTGGTACGGATTATGCAATATAGCCGAGAACATATAATTCTTATTATTCAAATATAACAATCACTGCGCATGCGTACTGTTGTGTGTCCTGTAAGTGCAATATTTTATGATAAATCATAGTTCGATTTAAGCTACAGTATGTAATATCGAACAAATATATGTTTTCGTACATATTACATCTTCAACTGCTGTTGCATGCCAATTCCTAGCAATCATACAATTGAACACCGGTCAGACCAATAGTGAGACAGGTAAACTTTGCACTGAACAAGAAATCAATGAAGTTCTACATGTGCATAATCTATGATTCTTGGAAGTTCTTGGAAGTTCAAGTTAATACGCCAGATCTGAGAGCGCCATACACAATGACACATTGACGAAATCCGATTGGAGTATGACCATACCACTGGCCATTAAGCTGCACATTTAAAACTACCACCTCCCCACTCCACCCAACCTCACACACGCACTTGAATTTTAGTGGTCGATTTACTGAGCTATTTTCGCGCAACCACTTTGATAATGACCACTATGATGCAGAAATATTATTGATAATGACCACTATGGCGCAGAAATATCATTGATAATGACCACTGTGACGCGGAAATATCATTTGATAATTCCCACTATGACGCGGAAATATCATTTGATAATGACCACTATGATGTAGAAATATTATTGATAATGACCACGATGGCGCAGAAATATCATTGATAATGACCACTGTGACGCGGAAATATCATTTGATAATTCCCACTATGACGCGGAAATATCATTGACAATGACCACTATGACGCGGAAATAAAATTGATAATGACCACTGTGACACAGAAATATAATTGATAATAACCACTGTGACGCAGAAATATAATTGATAATGACCACTATGACGCAGTAATATAATTGATAATGACAACTATGACGCAGAAATATCATTGATAATGACCACTGTGACGCAGAAATATAATTGATAATGACCACAAAGACGCAGTAATATCAATGATAATGACCACTATGACCCAGAAATATTATTGATAATGACCACTGTGACGCAGAAATATAATTGATAATGACTACTATGACGCTGCAGTAATATCATTGATAATGATCACTATGACACAGAAATATTATTGATAATGATCACTGTGACGCAGAAATATAATTGATAATGACCACTGTGACACAGAATTGATAATGACCACTGTGACGCAGAAATATAATTGACAATGACCACTATGACGCAGAATATCATTGATAATGACCACTGTGGCACAGAAATATCATTGATAATGACCACTATGACGCAGAAATATCATTGACAATGACCACTATGACGCGGAAATATCATTGATAAAGACCACTATGACGCGGAAATATCATTGATAATTACCACTATGACGCAGAAATATCATTGATAATGACCACTATGACGCAGAAATATCATTGATAATGACCACTGTGGCACAGAAATATCATTGATAATGACCACTATGACGCAGAAATATCATTGATAATGACCACTATGACGCAGAAATATTATTGATAATAACCACTATGGCGCAGAAATATCATTGATAATGACCAGTACGACGCAGAAATATCATTGATAATGACCAGTATGACGCAGAAATATCATTGATAATGACCAGTATGACGCAGAAATATCATTGATAATGACCACTATGGCACAGAAATATAATTGACAATGACCACTATGACGCAGAATATCATTGATAATGACCACTGTGGCACAGAAATATCATTGATAATGACCAATATGATGCAGAAATATCATTTGATAATGACCACTATGACGCGGAAATATCATTTGATAATGACCACTATGATGCAGAAATATCGTTTGATAATGACCACTGTGACGCGGAAATATCATTTGATAATTCCCACTATGACGCGGAAATATCATTTGATAATGACCACTATGATGTAGAAATATTATTGATAATGACCACTATGGCGCAGAAATATCATTGGTAATGACCACTGTGACGCGGAAATATCATTTGATAATTCCCACTATGACGCGGAAATATCATTGATAATGACCACTATGATGCAGAAATATTATTGATAATGACCACTATGGCGCAGAAATATCATTGATAATGACCACTGTGACGCGGAAATATCATTTGATAATGACCACTATGACGCGGAAATATCATTTGATAATGACCACTATGATGTAGAAATATTATTGATAATGACCACTATGACGCGGAAATATCATTGATAATGACCACTATGATGCAGAAATATTATTGATAATGATCACTGTGATGCAGAAATATCATTGATAATGACCACTATGACGCGGAAATATTATTGATAATGACCACTATGATGCAGAAATATCATTGATAATGACCACTATGACCCAGAAATATTATTGATAATGATCACTGTGATGGAGAAATATCATTTGATAATGACCACTATGATGCAGAAATATTATTGATAATGACCACTATGATGCAGAAATATTATTGATAATGATCACTGTGATGCAGAAATATCATTGATAATGACCATTATGACGCGAAAATATTATTGATAATGACCACTATGATGCAGAAATATCATTGATAATGACCACTATGACGCAGAAATATTATTGATAATGATCACTGTGATGCAGAAATATCATTTGATAATGACCACTATGATGCAGAAATATTATTGATAATGACCACTATGACACGAAAATTCGTTGTCTGTGAGTACCCGATCACTTGATCACCCAATTAGCCGTCAATCATTTGCCGATAGGGAAATTTGGTATTAGGAAATATGATAACATTTTGATAGTTGAGAATAATTAACCATGAAAGGTGATTTTAAGTTCCACCAATTAATCAATACGTGTGCCTGTACTTTGAACAACGCGTCTAGGAGCGTACCACTTTACCGTGGCTATCACTTTAGTGCATTGATTTTGTATAACAATTAAGAATAAACCACCGTGGCGTTATACCACGAACTATTGCACAATAGAAAATTCGACTAAAAAAGAAATTGAAAAAATGAAATACACTTTCTCTTTTCGTGCCGCATGATGGCGTTCTTCACCGTCATGCGGCAATTAATGTACTTCCGGTATTCCCGGAATCACTGAAACGCGTCATGTAGTATTTTCCACACCCACATCCTCCCCGTGGTGGGTGTGGTGTTACCGTACAAGGAGGCCCACTTCGAGTGGTTTCAATGAAATAGTTAATATTTACGACGGTAGTTTAATTTTATCCGAACATTTCAACGATTGACAACGGATATAGTGACTTTGCAACAAAAAGTTGAATCCTGCTCATTTATTGTCTAGAACTTTTTACCCATTTCGACTGATTTTGTGAACCGCGGCTATGTATGCTAGAGTGGTGAAACCGTCAAAACACCAGACGTCAACCAACGAACAAAGGTACGTACTTATTGTTCCCACCGGAATGGTTTTCTCTATTTGGACAGGAGCCTAAATTAACAGAACACTGACGACATATCACCGTGATATGTACGTGTGTATGCGAGGCCCAGGATGGACCACTTGAAACCCATGTCGAGAAACAGTGTCGGATCTTTCTCTTTTCTTTTTTTTTTTTACAAAATGTAACGTGGTTACAATCCTTACTTTCCTTTACTACTTTATTACTTTATTATTTATTTTATTTATGTATTTTTTTTACTTTTTTTTGTTTGTTACAAACTTCCTCAGTATTAGAAAACACGATCTGACTGGTCTCAACAGGATTGTCTACAGCCAGGCAGCTACTGACGTTTCTAATCCATTCGTCTCTATTGTTATGTATTTTGTTCTTCCAATTTACACTTCACAGTCCTTTGTTTCCATGGAAATGATAATCCAATTTTATAAATTTGCTTCCTGTTGTCTTTTACCTGAATGGATAAATGAACAAAGTCCTTTTTTAAGGTCGATGCCTTATACTTCTATTATTACTTTCAAAACTACCACCAGGAAATTATAACTATTGAAAAACTATTTAATCTATGAATGTTCATATTTACTTTATATGAAATGTACTCATTACCGTTTTGATTTACATATTTCAAATTTTGGCTCTCAGGGTATTTCTAATAAAAAAATTATCTAACCGTGGACTGAATTCATAGAAGTTTGGGCATTAATGTTAGAATTAATAATACAAATTTAGTACACACATTGAAATTATCAAAACCTGAAATACAAACATATAACACGTGTGAAGTAAACAAGATTATGATTTTTTTTAAATGAGACAAAATTTTGAAATGTTGTGTCACTTTCTGTATGTCTTATTTGTAAAACCGGTTTGTAAAAGGTTTATAATATTGTGGAAAATATAGAGAATATCACTGATCATAAAAGACGCCCATCGCATAGTGTTTTTAAGTAGAATATTTATTTTATAAAATTTCAAATTGAAAACAATTAGCCAATCACAATGTCCTAGCAAATACATCAGTATGGCCATTTCAAATGGTTTTAATAGTTAATGAAAGTACCTTCTTTGGGAATTGAATGAAGCATGAGAATCACGCTTCATGGGGTTCTTGCAGGGTCAATGTTATATAAATAGTTTATAAACGCATGCCTTCGGAGTGTACCTGTGGATGCTTTCAGTTTGAATTTGAAAATCTGGCCTTTAAGATAAAGTTCTTGGGTTTATAATACATTTTTGCAGTATGCAAATTCCTTGTGGCTTGTGCTTGGTTGAGATATGTTCATATTAATAGAAGTGACTTAAAAACACTGTCTCTTTTTCAGAATGTGGCAAGATCCAAGAGAGTTCACTAGTGTGCCACCTACTTATACAATGAGCCGGATCGAAAGTTACAACAAGAAACATCAATCAACAACCAGAAAGAAAGTTAACTTATCAGAAATTACATTTACAGGTAAAATATTCTGTTATAAAACAATATTGTAACATGAAAAATAAGTATTTGCTCTATTACAAGCACCTCTATAATAATGATAATAATTTTATTCAACACGTAAATCTACTAAAAGAAAGTAATTTTATGGTTGTAAAACAAAAAAACAGATATACCGGTAATACTTCACGCAACTACAATCACGAATAGCACATTAAATACATATAATTATAGAACGAGGGAAAACAATATAATAGAAGTGCACATAAACCAAGATTTGTATTTTAAATACTGAATTTTTAAATATCTCCACAGACTTTACTCTGTCATACGCTACTAATAAAGTAAATACGGTAATTGATTTACTATTTTTGGTGAATATGGTCAGAAATGCTATTTTTGTATTTCAGTAAAATGGAATATACAATCAATTTTTATTTGTGATTTCTTGAATTATTGCGGTTGTATTGACTTGACTAAACTGTAGATTGTTTTTAGATGTGATTCAAGCATGTATTACATCCGGGTGTATAAGACAATTGGTTTCCTGTTTCTCTTAAGAAGATCACATTTCTTGACCCTTGTATCTCTGGCATGTAACCTAGTGTACAATATAAGTGTCAGTGACTTAATTTCATCCAAATAATGCTAGATCCAAATTCTGATAATGTTGGATCCAGTTTTACTTATTTTTTAATGATTCATACAAAATACTTACTTTACTGGATTCACATAATTGCATTTGTTTCAAATTATGTTAAATCATGTGATTAATTGTTCATGAAGAAATTCTATCCAGACAAACAAATGATTAAACAAAAACTAAAATAGTGAAAGACTTATTTACAAGAACAAGCCAAGAGGCTGGTTGGCAATCCGCTCCGCTCAAAAAACGTGTTACCATGGTAGAACATGAATGTGAAGCTACGTTGGGTTATAATTAAAACCGGGCATGTAGACAAACTTTGCTGAGTTCCAAATACTTGTCAACAGACAAGTTTGTTCTCATCTCATAGTGACTGGAGTATTTAATTTGACTTAATACAAAAATCCAAATTAAATTACAAATATAGCGTGTGCCACCGTTTTGGGATTTTCTAGATTCTTTTAATGCAGCATTTACAGTTCATTCAAAGTTGCTGTAGGCGCCGATGGTCTCTCTTTGGTGCGCAACTTGGCCAAAATAAAAAGCATGATCATTTGAACACTGCTATTACAAGATTTGTAGGAGAAGATACATTTTGCACGAAGCAATTGAAAAAATCAGTTTTTTGGCTGTTGCCATGGCAATGGTGGGCCAGGAATTTTTTCGGATTTTAGCACAGAATTAGAATGAAGGTGTGACCTGCCTGCCAATTTTGAACAAAATCGACCGGACCAAAAAAATCACAGAAGATTTGATACGTGTAACCACACAGAAAATCACACGCACACAAAAGTGATTTTAAGGGCAATCCTAGTGGAGCGGATCAGCAATAACTGTTGTAGAGTTGAAGTAATTACTTGAGGGCTTCTTTTCAGGCAATAAACTCTCTTGGGATTCCTAACAAATTACTGAAAAGTCACAGCAAAATAATGCAGTTGGGGTTGAAAATGACATCATTAAAACTAAATATTGACTGACACTGAGGTTTTATTATTATATTGAATAATAAATACAACATAAATCGAATATTGTAACTTGTGGTACATGACATTTTTTTTTATTAAACATTACAACTGTGTATCATGCACTTTAAAAAATTAAGTTCACTGGATTTTTATTATTGGTTCTGAGTCAATAATGAGTTTTATTCACATCCACATTAACGTGTTCAGACCAATCAACATGATGAATAATGAAATCAAATCGTATTCTGACTGGTTTGATTAAAATTTTATTTGAAAGAAAAAAGAATAAAATCCCATGAAATCAAAATTTGCATATGATTGACAAGATATTGAATAACCAGAATTATAGAAATCAGAATTTGTGTTGTTTTGTAAATGCTTGTAGGCCTACTTACAAAAGATGTAATTTGAGATTTTTTTCCAGAGAATCACATTCTAGGAACATATGCCATATTGTTTTATTAGAACTGCATTATGACCTGTTGAAAAGCTAGCATAAAATATGCAGTATATACAAATATCTTCTAGTACAAGTGTTTGAAATTGACAATTTTACGATCACTGTGAGAATCACGTGTTATGTGGGGAATCAAACGTAAAAACAGGACAAACAAAGGTCATAGCATCATAGTGGCTTATAATATCGTGTGGGATTCGACAAACGCGATAGTATTATGGGGGATATTTCCATGCTTAATAATGTGCTGTACGCATTTGATGATATGCAATTTTGATGAAGTATGGGTATTCAAAAGCAATATGCCTCTGGCGAAGATCGGCCGGTCGATGTGAGCTACGAAATAAAGAAATTTGAGGTCAAAATCAAATCGATTTTTGCGGCAGACGTTCGGCATGTGTCTTTCATGCAACTCGTGGGATCTCGCAGTTGAACAGAATATCACTTATTACTGCTTGCCTGTGTCCCTGATACAGGTAACTTTTAAGTCAGGCTTGTAAAACTTGCATGTCTAGATGTCTAGTAACAGTTTTTCACGGTCTTTTCTAAATATTTTTGGATGAATTTGGCTGAAAAAAAAACAATTTGAAATTTTATTAATCGTAAATCAGCTTGACTTCATAGAAGTATTGACCAGAGAGACACTTTAATTATTCAGTCTTGATGGGCTTACTTGGTATGAGACAGAAGTACTTGAAAATAATATTTAATTCAAGACTTGTATCTTTCTACCGGTACACAATTTTGAGAAATGTCAAAGACTACTAGTACATGGTAGAATTTTCAGGGGGTGGCGGGTATGGATGAAGAGAAAGAAGTAACAATTGTTTTTTTTTTTTTTTTTTGTGGACTATATCATAGAAAGTAGAGTTTTTATGTGGAAGAGTTAGGGAGGGTGGTGTAAATAATTTAGTCTGTCTCTTCCATTTTCTCCCTCACTTTAACAAATTACATTTTAAAGATGCTTTTTAATTGAAGGAAATGTGGTACTACTTCACAGCAATGTAATTCACAAATGTTTTTTTTTTACAGAATTAGAGAATGAAATAAAATATAACATAGAGTCGCTGATAATGAAATCCAGGTGTAGTGAATGGAGAAATGTATTGTTACATTTCATGCAATTTTCCTTGTCTGACAAGCTAGCAGACACACTTCACTATTTTCAACATTTAGTGAGTATTGATTTGTTTGTTTTTCATTCTTGTTGCTTTAAAGAGAACTAAATAGGAGGTACTGTCATGGTACTGTCTGTGTGTAGGTGTCGTTACATGCGAAAATCTTGTTTCACTGATCTCAAAATGAAATACGATCATCTGACAGCTCAAACTGTCAAAACCAAAGTCATGTGCCTCTCCAGAATGTCGTCTCTATAGTGATCAGCTAATTAAAAAATAATCATGTAGCCATTGAAGTATTGAAAAACCTGGATCAAAATGTTTGAAAATAACCACTGACAATGACACATACTCAAGTCGCAGTCAGGATGGAAGTGTCATATATTGTTATATATCGATATTAAAAGCCACATAAGGACGCTCAAGAAATGTCAAAGGTTGTATTGTATTAGTTATGATTTTGAAAAAATCTTGAATTTTGTTCTGTTTTACTTCATTTATTGATTGGCATTTTCATTGCTTACTCTGCAGCAAACACAGCAATGAGGGCATGTCGCCAACATTTGCATATAATGTAAATAGAGTGGACGCCAGATTAACCAATCATTGGACAGAGTATAAAATACTGTAGAGTACTTTTTGCTGATGTGTATTTAGTGAAGGGTTTATTCACTGGATTTTATTTCCACTGAATCACCTATTCAATGAAAATAAATTCTAAGTGACAATAAAGTAATTTACAGTAGGTCACTGCCCTTGCATACACATAGCCTTGGATGAAGTGTTTACAACTTTCCTGGTGATTTTCGGAAAGTTTGGAAACATATGTAATAATAACAGAGTGCCATGGTCCTGCCCTGATGTTTGTAGGGTATGAAAGCCATTTTCACCCTTGATGCAAAGTATCCATGCTTCACTCAAGAAAATATGGCCACAGGATACACTGTATCTCTCAAG